TGCACAAAGTCCAAGTCCCATTTGATTCAAGAGCTAGATATTCTGCCATCATTGCATCCCTCCAATATTTATAACGTATAGCTTGATGGAAAAACTTCGGTTCGAAAGTGGAGGAAACTGCAGCTACAAACGCGTGATGCGCCTGGGAGAGACGCCGATAAGTAAGATAATCCTCGATGGGATACTCAACGGCAGCAGCGTTGACAAAACTAGGGAGCTCCACGTCATATCCCGCCAGGCGGGTGGAAGGCTGACGTTGACGATGACCACGTCGAGGGGCAGGAGGAGCTGCGGACGAAGTCACATTAGGCGTGGATGGTGACATCGAAGATTGATTTTTGGGGCCTGGCGAGGTGCAGCCGCCAGTAGGAGGTTCTGGTGAGGAGCTCGTCCCCGAAGATGTCTCAGCTGGCAAGGTGGAGGGATCACCAGCCCCTGATGGTGTAGGCTGGGAGGAGATAGAGGAGGTGCCAGGTGTACTCTTGTCAATGGAATTGGGGACAGTAGCTTCATCATGATCACTGTCATCATCAGTGGCCGAATAATCCAAAGGAAAATGAGAAGGTTGTTGAGCCAAGAGTTGACCAACAATTGGTGATGGATCCTGTGAGCATTGATAAGGATATATATATGGTCAAAAAACTTCACGTCACGGGACGTGTAAATGATGCGTGACTCCAAATCATAAATTCGATAACCACGTTGAGTGCTAGGATACCCAACGAACACACCGGCACGTCCACGATTGCTAAATTTGTCGAGGCCTCAATGATTATCACGAGCATACACGAGACAACCAAAACTGCGAAGGTGATGATAAGGAGGGTCTTTGCCGAACATCACCTGGAAAGGTGACTTATTAGCGATCGTCACAAGAGGCATCCGGTTAAGGAGATAGGCAGCTGTCATGATGCATTCACCCCAAAACTTTACTGGCAGACTAGCATGAAAGCGCAGAGCTCTCGCTGTCTCAAGAAGATTGCGATGCTTGCGCTCTGCAACTCCGTTCTGTTGTGGAGTATCGGTGCACGAAGTTTGCAAGATGATCCTCGCTTCACTGTAATAATCCTGTAAAGCTGAAGTAGCAAACTCAGGACCATTATTAGTCTGAATACGACGCACCTGCTTGCCAAACTGAGTTTGCACCATACGACAAAAATGCAGAAGATAACGAGCAACTTCCGACTTAAATTTCAAAAGATAAACCTATACTACTCTGCTATAATCATCAACAATCGTCAGGAAATAACGAGCTCCAGTGAAAGAGGGGACCCGATATCCTGCCCAAATATCCAAATGTATAAGCTCAAAACATGACTGAGTAGAAATAGAACTAGACGGAAAGGGGTCCCGTGTTTGTTTTGCCCGAATACAAGAATGACAAGGTTCCTCATTTTGAACAAGAGGACATGAAATAAACTTCTGGAGGATAGAAAGTTCGGTTGCCGATGGATGCCCCAACCGAGAGTGCCACAGGACTGAATTATCCGTCGCTTTCCGAACCGAATGTGTTGCTGCCCGCTGCTCCTCGAATAGCTTCAGATAGTACAGTCCATCCATATACTTACCCATCCCAATCGGCCTCTTGGATGGTAAGTCCTGAACAACACAGAAGTCACTCATGAAGATTAACGTCACCGGAAGATCAGTCGTGAGCCGACTGACAGAGAGAAGGTTACACTGGAAATCCGGAACATATAAAACTCTCTGTAATAATAAATTATGTGGCAACAGGACAGATCCAATGCTACGAACGGGAACTCCTGTCCCATTTGGAATACGTACCTGTAAAGCCGGAGTAGGCTCCAACTCATTTATCAACAATGATATATCGTTAATGATGTGCTCGTTACATCCCGAATCTATAGCCCATGAAGTATTATTGATAGGAAGCGTACCTGCCATGTTCGAGATGGGATCTGAAATTGGTGAGCTATCCTGCTTAGGATCGGAATTGAGGAGCTGCTTGAGTTGACTGTATTGCGCCAACGTTAGCCCTGGAATTGGGCTGGACTCCACATCGGCAACAGCAGCTTGAGGAGGAGGACGCCGCTCTCGATCAGGCCTCCGTTTCTGCTGCTCACCCGTCCCCGAATTGCGCGAGGGATAACCATTAAGTTTGTAACAGGTATCCCGAAAGTGACCTGAACGATGGCAATAAGTGCAACAGGGTCTTCCATCAGCATCACGTTCACCCTGGCGCCCCGGCTTCTCCGCGCGGCGATCTCCTTGGGCTTGGAAGACTGCAGCGTCCACTCTAGGGCGCCTATTGCTGGAAATATGGCGCTGATGTTCATCATTTGTAACCAGGTTGTAAGCCTCTGCGAGACTAGGAATTGGCTTCATAGATAAAATTTGGGTTTTGACAGTGCTAAAAGCATCATCCAGCCCCATTAAAAAGTCAAACAACCTTTCTCCTTCTTTAGCTTCCCTTTGTCGACGCTTTACGTCGCAAGTACAACCTCCACAGGTACATTCTAGGGATGGTGAGAGGGAGGTAATTTCATCCCAATGCCCTCTGAGTTTGGTGTAAAAGGAAGCAACTGATGCCTTCTCTTGCTGAAGAAGGCTAATGGTTCGCTTAAGCTCATACATCCGAGAAGCACTACCATGGCCGAATCGGGATTGAAGGTCCAGCCATATGTCACGTGCAGTCTTTGCAAAGCGCACACTGCTGCTCACATCTTTCGTCATGGCCGTTTTGAGCCATCCCTTAACCATGGCATCACACTGCTTCCAAGTATCATAATCTTCGCCCCCATTCGTTGGAGCCGATATAGTCCCATCGACGAAGCCGAGTTTATTTTTTGCTATAAGAGAATCCGTTATGTCGCCTAGCCACTCGCCATAATTGGATTCAGTGAGGAGATCTCCCACAAATAGTTGACTGGGATTATCCGATCGATGAATGGTTAACGGAGACGGAATCACAGAGTTGGATCCGCTGCCCTTATCACCAGCGCTCGATTTGCTTGAGCTGTTGAGAACATCTTCTTTATCACTCATGATTGCGGAAACAGCTGTGGATCAATCACAGCTCTGATACCATGTAGAAAACGACGACCGGAAGAAAGCAAGACACGAGATTTACGTGGTTTCCCCGATCAGTATGACCGGGACTAGTCCACGGAGAGCCGAAGCTCTCGGAGATGTATTATTGATTGATTGTTCTCAAGATACAAAAATGCGGCCGTCAACAGTGAACAAGGCCTTAAATATAAAAGATGTATAATTAACCTAATTCCCTTCAACAGGTTACGAAGGGAAAAAGGAAAAAAAAGAAAGGGCCACATGATCAATGAAACCGGCCCAAGAGTGAGTCACGAGAGAAGGAGGAATAACTCGTGACATCACAACAGGTAGTTGTTGTGGTGCTGGGATACAGAGTGCAGACTCATCGAGAGTGGTCTGATGTGTTGGTGTTCATGATCAAAAGAATCAAAGATCATGGTAGCTGCGGTTTGATTGAAGCCTCGGTATGGAGTTGGTGTATCCGTTATGTATGAAAGGAATGTTGTCGAAGTGTTTTTGGGGAACCTCCTCGTACTGTCCAAGTGCTGGCAGAGCTGACTAATAGCATTTTGTACCCCTCTACTATGGCAAATTAACAAACATACCCCTCTACTAAATTTTCGTACAAACATACCTTTATATTATTAAAACGTAACGATTCTACCCTTCCGTCAATTTATCTGTTAAGTGACCGGTAAATGGCCTGTGAAATCACTCAATTGCCCCTTACTTACTCTCCTAATTTGGATAATTATTTTATTGTGTTCCAATCCAAAATCAAATAATCAACAAATTGAAATCCCTAAGCTAATACAGAAGCATTCGATCAGAGAGACCAGACCAGAGACCGTTCGACTACCGCTACCCTGTACTCTCCCGTGGCGATCAAAAGCTCGACTCAGCGGTGGCAGCACCTGCTCCGGCATCTCCTCGCCGGCAATTGGAGCAGAGAGAATCGGCGAGACCAGACGACATCTCCTGGCCGACACGTGTTTTGGTTTCCCCGTGACGTTTCAATCCATCTGTACCTCCCCTCGATCACACAGCAGGATCCCAAATCCCCCCACGAAATCGAAAACCCTCCACCACTATAAATCCCTACAATCACCCTCTCTACAAAAAACCACACCATACCACCCAACAAACAAACCCAAATTTCCAAATAACACATCCAACTGCTTAGAAAAAAAGATGGCCAAATCCGGCAACTCCACCTCCTCCGGCTTAGTTCAGGCGGCGTCTCTGCTGCTTTTTAATTTTTATGGCAATAAGTAGGCCAGCCGAGGCCAGAACGTGCGGGGTCGACATCCGCGGTGCGGCGGCGGAATGCAAGGACTACGTGAAGAAAGGGTCGAAGCAATGACCCGTCGCCGCAGTGCTGCAGCGCCATTGGAGACCTCTTAATCTGTTTAGAGAGGTCGTAGGCTTTGAGGAGGCTGAACTTTTCTGTCAACTGTGATGGGCAAATGATTAAATAAATAAGATAATTATTAATTAAACACATATTAGGAGTGGGGTAAATGAGGGGCAATTGAGTCATTTCACAGGCCATTTCACGGCCACTTAACAGATAAATAGACGGAAGGGTAGAATCGTTACGTTTTAATAATAGAATAGTATGTTTGTGCGAAAATTTAGTAGAGGGGTACGTTTATTAATGTATCATAGTAGAGGGGTACAAAATACTATTAACCCTTCAACTTAGAATTCCAAAGATTTGGGCTAGGCAAAGAGAAAAACCGAAAAATATGTGCATTTCGCAAACCAAAGGAAAAAAAAAACGACACCGTTTGACATCCAACCCAGTACCTTGCAGCGGATCGATCCGGCGGACGTATGTGGTTCATTTTTCTCACCGGGTTAGAGTCAAAGCCGGTCAACCGACAGGTCAATCCGCAACTTGACAACCTTAGTAGAGAGAGAATGATAATCTTCATAGTTCCTACTACTAATATATTTCAATTTACTAACTAAATTACTCCCTATAACTACACTAGCAATATCAATAACCCTATCGCTATTAATTGTCTTCTTTTTATCATCGTATGCCTTCTTCGCGCCTTTTCTTTCACCTCCTCGAGAATAGCATTGGAGTCGTCGGTCAAGATGGACGCACAAATCTTTACCCTCTCCTTGGCATGCCAGTACTCCTCGTCCCAACCTTGGAACTTGCTCGTCAAATCCATTCCATCGCCGCCGGCGCCCCACTCCTCCAGGAATCGCAACCTGTATATCGCGCACGCGTTGGAGCCGGCGGGCTGGCAAGGGACTCGAGGGAATCTCCACTCGAACTTGGCGAAGTCTACATCCCGTCTCGTGGAGCCAACGTAGGCAGCCACCGCCTTGAAAATTCGGTCGCACAAGGGACCTGCGTTGAGGAAAAATTGTGCCTTGTTGGGCCCGCCGCTGTCCAGACATTCAACGCGAGCGTCCTTGATGTTTATGACCATTGCTACGGCATGGTTTCGACTGCTTATGGGAACACACCACTGCATGCGATCGATAAAGCTACGAAGATCAGTTCACATTTGTTATAAACGCGCTGCTACGGATCGGGAAATCGCCGGGATCGATAAAGCAAGAATACGAAAGCGAGAATCGAAAAACACAGACACACGATTTACGTGGTTCACTAACACGATGTGTGTTAGTTGATAGTCCGATTCAAGTCACAACAACAACATTAGATATGAAGCATTATTATTATGACGTACGACTTTTCTAGCTAGCAATGTGTACTTACAAGGTCACATTTGCGGGCGTCGATCTTGCCCTTCAAGTACTCATTTTCGTCGATCTCAGTAGCGTTACGTTCAAGCGAAGAAGCTAGATCGGTAGGGAAGATGAACTTTTTCAAGTGGCCATTACTAGCTGTGACGGAACTCTTGTTTATCTGGTCGATGCGAATATCAGTTATAGTCTCTGGCACCCCAGATTTTGTGACGAGTTTTCTCAAATCCATCCGTTTCAAGATCCTTCGCTTCTTAACATCTTGGTACAAAACTTCCTCGCTTAGTTTCATGAAACGAAACACACAGTTTTTTTTTCCAGACTTTTACAATCTGACACGATACTTTCAATTAAAATATAGTTGAGTACGTAGAAACTACTTACGGTGGGAGTGCAGAATTCCTTGCATATCTCAGAATCTGATACTCTGCACTTGACTCCGGATAGTTGGCGATTTGATCTCTCACGGTGCTTTGATCTAGCACATCAGATCGATTGTCGACAAAAAAAAGAAAAAACACACACACACACAATCGAATCATATCGAATCTCGTTAAGAACTAGCATGTTAATAAACTCATTCAACAACGTGGAAACAAATCCCCTTAAAAAAAAACTTACAAGTTATCTTCCCCTCCGTTCGTATATCCCTCCATATTTCAGCGAGCGACTTTCTCGCGTTAGCGATTCTTTGGTCCGACCACTCCTTCACTCGGATTTTTCCGTCCGCTGCCCATATGTCCATGGCGGATTTTGCACCTGCCGGCGCCATTAGCCCTCGCCGGAGCGTCGTACTGGCGGCGGATATCAAGCCGCTTAATATACCCATTGGTTGGCGGTCTAAAGAAACGTGACTATACAAAACAAGGTAAGCTATATATATACACACATATTACGTATCCGTAATCCGCAAGGAAGAAGGATCATTGGTTATAGGGATCTAGATGTTAAATATAGCTATTTTTTGACCCACGCTTCACGTCGGTAATCAAGTAATAATTTCTTTTGATAATAAAATTTCATTCACTCGTTTAAGGATAACTAAAACAAAATTATTCACCAAAATAATTCAATTAATACACTTTCATCATCAATTACGTAGTGTCTTACGAAAGGCTTACGTACTATGTTTGTTTGATTGATACATAAAAAGTAATTATCCCTTCAACCTTCATTAAATTTAGGTAATATATTTTAATAACTATTATAGAATGATGTTACGTAACTAGACTATTATGCAAAGTTGATTCATCTTACATAAACTTTAATTTGAGTAATTCAAATTGGTGTGATGAATATAATAAATACTAATGAAGAATTTTTAGGTAATAAATGAATTAAGTTATGAAATGTATCACATTTGATTAAACTATAGGTAAAAATAAATTATCTCACAAAACTTGTGTAATGAATTGATGAGATCCTTCTGATGCCATGTACTCTCCTCATGAACAGTGTCATTTGTCATTTTAGTTAATAATTTTGGAGTTTTCATTCAGACTACTATTGTGAAAGACTTACATAATATGTTTGTGATAAACAATGAACAATTATCCTTTGTATGAATAGAGTACACAAACGTACTGAATAGAGTACAACAAACAAATGAGTTATGTCCTTCGCCACCGTAATAAATTAATCATATCCAATACTTCATTTACAAATTTAAAGATGCATTTACAATCTAATACATGAAATCATAGGGATGCCTTCATAAAATTGACGTAGTGTTTTTATAATTACATAATATTTATGTTTATGTTTGTTACGTTGATATATACAATATAAATACCTCCTCTATAAAATTTACATAGTGTCTTAATCATCACAAAAGACTTATGTAATTTGTTTGTTTAATTGATACATAAGAAATAAGCTAGCCTCTTTATGTGATGTATTTTTAATTTATATAACTATTATGAACGATGTCATGTAAAACTTCCATATTGTGTGGTCTACAATAAAATAAACTATCGCAGTTTATCATAATTCAATGAAAATTGATTAGATGATGCATAGTTTAGTTAATAATAAAAGAATTAAGTTAAGAAAAGTATTTGATTTTATTAAAGTGTTTTGTGAAAGACAACTGACCTTATAAAGTCTTTTTGGAATACAATTTGATGAGATGATTCACTATTTCGTCAATGATAAAAAAATACATTCAAACTCGTATAAAAGCTTAATATATTTTTCAATTAAAACAAATAAAGATAACCATCCCTCTTGATCAAACTATATAACCATAAGTACATAATTTCTTCAAAAAGCGTATTTGAAATTTTACAAAAATTTTGTGTAATGCAAATTGATGAGATGACCAACAATTTGGTTAACAATAGGAAAACATCTGTTCAAACTTATACTAAAAAAACTTATGTACTAAATTTTTTAATTGATAACTATCCCTCATGAAAAAATGATATAACCATAAGAAATACGTTTGTTTAATAAACACTACACGGTGTTTTGTTTATTAGGGAATACTTACGTAATACATTTATTTTCTCAAAACTATTCATCCCAACCGTCGAAGATAAAGGATATATATATGAGCTCTCTCATTTCAAATCATGATTGAAAAAGAAGGATCGTTTTTTTTTGTTTTCTTGGACAACCTAATGTACATCACTTTCATTATGTAAAGAGTAAAACAATGACATGCTTGGGAAGCTGTCATTGCCCATGGGCTCATACGGGGTAAAGAAAACTTATGTAATATATTTTGTTACACACGGCCGCAGAGAATTTAAAAGAAAGACGTTTAGGAACAGTAACCCAACTTAATAAGGTAACCCTGGATTCTTCGTATGCAATAGTAAAAAACTTGTTAATTATTGTCCTAATAACTATATGTTTCGTTTGTGGGAATCGGAGTATGATTATTCATTTAGATACATGACTCGGTGTAATCTTCGTTTCCCTCAAACAAAAGCCACTCACATGGCTTGAAGTTTGCAAAGATTCGAATACTATGCGCTTAACGAATAGGGTTGTGAGGGTTTTAACATGTGATCTCATGAACAAACTAGCTCTGATATCTTGTCAAGAATCAATTAATCTCAATACCTCTAGTTGTTGGTAGAGTTTCAATTATGAATCATATACCATTTATAGATGACAATGATGCAGGTAAGTAATACCCACTCTTACATATTCTTTTTAAAAAATACATGCAAAATTATAATCTAACTATAAAAGAGAATATTTTATGAATGGAAATAGTGATAATAGAATGAGCAATTGAGTCTAATTAGTATAGGGTGGTAATTGGTAATAAATGTAGTAAATGACAGTTAGTATATTCCTAATATCATGTATTCAATCATCCTACAGTACTCTGTTATGTTCCTACTAACATGGTACACTTTCATAGCATCATATATTTAATACCTTGAGGAAAGATTAGACAGGATGGTTGCTTCAAGCTCTTGGAGGCAATTGTATCCGCAAGCACGAGTAAACCATCTGAGACGATGTGGATCACACCATAATCCAATCATCTTATTCACTGAGCTTGTAGAGGAAGAAGAGATTAAATGGGGAAAAAACTTCAGGTTTGAAGCAGTTTGGCAACAACACCAGGATATTAAGCATATAATACGGGAAGGATGGGGGAGCAGTCACAATCAAGGAATACTCGAAAGGGTGGCAGGGTTTGTGGAAAAGCTCAAACAATGGAGCCAGGAGGTATTTGTCACTCTAAAGACAAGGAAAAGAAAATTTGAAAAAGCACTTGCAAGGCTAGAAAAGCTTGGGTTGACGGAAGCACTAGTTGCACAACGTCACAATCAGGAAAGTGAACTTGATGAGATCCTTGACCAAGAGGAACTTCGCTGGAAGCAAAGATCCAGATCTGACTGGCTTGGAGGGGGTGATAAAAATACTAGATTTTTTCGTAGAAGAGCTTCCGAAAGAAGGAAAAGGAATACCATCAAAGAGTTGAAAGATGAGGCAGGAGCTGTGTTTAAGGGCCAGGAGAAAGTCATTAATTTCCTGGTAAGGTTCTATCAGAACCTGTTCAAAGCGGGTGAGAGGACTTCAAACAGCACCGTCATTGATGCAGTTCCCAGGAAAGTCACTGCTCTATGAACGAGGAACTCCTCAGCCCTTTCACGAGGGAGGAAATCTGGGGAGCCCTCAAACATATGGGAACCCTAAAAGCCCCAGGGGCAGATGGTCTCCCTGCTGTTTTCTTTTAGAAGAATTGGGATGTGGTTGGGGATGATGTCACCAGGGAACTTCAAGGCTTTCTGGAAAATTGTGTATTCCCGCAAGCCCTCAACCATACACTGTTGGTCCTAATTCCGAAGAAAAAGATTCCTAAAAGCCCGGTGGACTTCAGTCCTATTAGTCTTTGCAAGGTTCTTTACAAAATCCTTTCAAAAGTCCTTGCAAACAGATTGAAACGGATACTGACTCTAATAATTTTGTTCCTAGTAATAGTTGAGAACCAGAGCGCTTTTGTTCCTGGTCGATTGATAACAAATAATTTTATCATCGCTTTTGAATGTTTTCATTCAATGTCCTAGAAAAGAAAGGGTAAGACAGGTCATATGGCGGCCAAGCTACACATAACTAAAGCCTACGATAGAGTAGAATGGGATTTTCTCGAATCAATAATGACCAAGCTAGGCTTTGCAAGGAGGTGGATTGAATTGATCACGACGTGTGTTACCACTGTCTCTTTTTCTTTGTTGGTCAATGGTCATCCATCTGAAGTTTTCGTGCCAACAAGAGGCTTTAGACAGGGGGATCCCATCTCCCCATATCTATTCCTACTCATGGCAGAAGGTCTCTCAGGAATAATTTCTAAGGTAGAAAGGGAAAACCACATCAGTGGTATTAAAAAGACACGAGCAGCCCCTGTGGTCTCTCACCTTCTATTTGCGGATGATAGCATCTTATTCACTAAGGCTACTAGACAGGAGTGTGAGAAGCTGAAGCAAATTCTAAGCCTCTATGAGGCAGAGTCGGGACAAAATGTGAACTTGGAGAAATCAGAGCTATCGTTCAGTCGTAACATTAAAGGAGAGACAAGGGAACAATTGGCTTCTAACCTAGGAATGTAGGTTGTGGATCATCATCAGATATATCTTGGCCTCCCTACTCGTGTGGGGACAGAAAATAAATCTTTGTTTGGATACCTGGTGGATAGGGTTAGACAGAAAGTGAAACACTGGAAGACCTTTCTACTCTCTATAGGTGGGAAGGAGATCCTTATAAAGGCGGTGGTACAAGCACAAATGATTTATGTCATGTCCCTCTTCCAAGTCCCAGTGGGGATTCTGAAAGAAATTCAAAGTCTAGTAGCAAATTTTTGGTGTGGGCAACAAGCAGAAGAGGGTCGAACCCACTAGCTGCGTTGGGAGGAGCTATGCAAGCCAAAGAAGATGGGAGGACTGGGTTTTAAAGATTTACAAGAGTTCAACAAGGCACTACTGGGAAAACAGATACGGAGGCTTATCTCCAAGCCTAAATCACTGGCAGCACAAGTTCTGAAAGCTAAATACTACCCAAACAGGGAAGTTATGGAGGCTGAAGCTGGGAGTAATGCGAGCTTTCTATGGAAAAGATTGTTGTCATCCGTGCTCTAGTGGCAAAGGGATGCAGATGGAGAATTGGAAATGGATGCAACATACACATCTAGCAAGATAAGTGGGTGCCAGGGAATGAGGGCTTCAAAGTCAAGACCCCAGTAACCCTTTTCGGTGACACTACCTCAGTGGCGGAACTGATCGATTTTGAGGAGAACTGCTGGAGGGTAGATGTCCTAGATGAGCACTTTCTATTGGTTGAGTCGAGCGCGAGACTCGGGCTGTAATTCTCCTCCTTCGTCGATCGATTGTAACCTCGAGAAACCCTTGTTTCAATTTTTGACAGGATCAAGTGAAAGAAGGTGAAGTGAACTGTAAATCAAATCGATGGAAAAGAGTAAAGTAACTTTCCTTCCTTTTTGTATCAAAACGACACCGAGTCTGGAACTAAATCTGAGATTGGTTGGGCTCAGTTTGTTTTCAATCTGTCAACCATAAACCGGCCCAACTTGGTTGCTCTGCACGCTGCGTTTTGATAACTCAGTTCCCTTCTTCTTCTTATTCCTTTCAATAGATCGATCTTACCTTGTTCTGCGCAAAGCTCAGAAACACACTAAAACAAGAACATGAGCGAAAACTGGAAATAATCAAAGCACAGCAGAAATACAAATGAAGGCGCGACACAGTATTTTTACGAGGTATCTGATACTGATAACTTCAGTATCGACTAATCCACGGTCAAAAATACTCTTCTTGAGTCCTTTGACGTAATACTATGATCTTTGGTTTGTGATTACACTGTTACAGCTTTTGATCCCACAGTGACTCCCTGTCACTCTGTTCAGAATCACCCTGAACCTACAGCTCCCCGCCGTTGTTCAACCTCGATCAATATAATCCCCACAAGCTCTCTCCCTGACAGCTCTCTCCTTCTCTAATCAAAACCTTAACAATACACCTTTGTCTCTGTTTTGATTCTCGTGAAAAGGATACCTATTCTACCCAGCCTCTTTCACTCTTTATACACTCACTCTCCTAGCCGTTGGCGATTGCTGCCCTGAGTCTGGATGATTTTGATTTGATCTTAACAGATCCCTTCCTTAATTGACTCTCGAGAATCAGCCTTTCCCTTCTGATCAAATTCTTCCACTTTCCTTAGTTTGAGCGTGCACAAGCTTGCCCATCTTCTTTCAACATTCTCCACCTAAGCTTGTCAGTGTCTCAACTCAGCAACCTGCACACATCTAGCAAACAGTGGGTGCAGCCTGTTCCAAAAGACTTAAGCTAAGTGAACAAAACTTTATTCATTCATAACAAACTTGTTTTTTTTAATTGGGTTAATACCCTAGTTTGGCCCGAAGTTTAGCGTTAGTGACAGTTCTGGCTCCATTTTTCAAATAAGACATTTATGGCCTACTTTTGAAACTATTTGACAAATTTGGCCTAAAATTATTTTTGACCGTTAATATTAACGGTCAAACACTATTCCGTTAGTGATTCAGCAAAAAAATCACTGATGTGGCATGCCACGTCATTAAAACATATTATTTTAATTTTATATTTCAATTAAAATAAAAATTAACAGAATAAAAAAATCCTCTTATGAACCCAAAATCCCCAAATTCAAACCCTAAATCGTTAATCGTGAATAGGGGGGAGGCGCCTCCTCCTTCTCCGACCAACAGCAGTCTTCCGCCTCTCCCGTTACTTCTTCTTCTTCTTCGACCAGAGCCGCTCGATCGTATCGATTAGGTTCAACTTTTGGGACAGTTTGGCGTCGGTTGCGGATAGCATCACCATCACCTCTTCCTTCAGCGATTCAATCTGCTGGTTCCAGCCGCTGACCGACTGCCCAGAGGAGAAAGGAAACCGCGCAAAATATGTGTTGGAACGGTTTGGGAAATCGACTGTGTAAAAAAAAGTAAAGAACACAACATTATAGCGTGGAAGATTCAAAATAATGAGATTGAGAAGACATATGAATGTGTAGTTGATTACCTCTTCGGAATGGAAGACAAGGGTAATGAAGAAGTCTCCCCATACGGTCGGGTGGAATTCCGCCGACCGGGGCTCAGGCGCAGTTGGGTAAGTCGACCGCCCGTCAGCTGCCGGGAGAGGCGGAAGACTGCTGTTGGTCGGAGAAGGAGGAGGCGCCTCCCTCCTATTCACGATTAACGATTTAGGGTTTGAATTTGGGGATTTTGGGTTCATAAGAGGATTTTTTTATTCTGTTAATTTTTATTTTAATTGAAATATAAAATTAAAATAATATGTTTTAATGACGTGGCACGCCACATCAGTGATTTTTTTGCTGAATCACTAACGGAATAGTGTTTGACTGTTAATATTAACGGTCAAAAATAATTTTAGGCCAAATTTGTCAAATAGTTTCAAAAGTAGGCCATAAATGTCTTATTTGAAAAATGGGGCCAGAACTGTCACTAACGCTAAACTTCGGGCCAAACTAGGGTATTAACCCTTTTTAATTCAACTTTCTCAATTTATAGATCAAAACAAAATCCTCGACATTAAATTAACCAACACACCAGACCATGCCACTCACTTCCTAGACTTTAGACACTCCTTATAAACTCCCTTCTAGAAGGGATAGTTAGGAGGCGAAGCATAGCTTGAGACTCGATCATCCTCATCACCAGAATGCGAATCAGGACTAATTGGGTCACTGACTTTGTTAGATTCATAGATAAACTTTGGCAGCATCAAATCCTTTTCAATCAATATTCTCCTTTTTGGACCGCTCCTAGTACTAGCCTCTTGCTTGTATGCTGCAGCTGCTGCATTAACCATTTGTTGCTGACTAGTCACTCCCCCTGAGCCAGTGACAGGCTTACAGGGACCAACCAGGGCATCAACACGTTCGAGAACATGTTGAGGACGCAAATCATCGAGCACATCACACACAATGACCTTGTCACACAAATCAATCCCCAAACGATACAGAAGACGAGTAATATGTGGACCAAATGGCAGCGGATCACCATAATATTCAGTCCCAAATTTGATCATATGATGGAACATAAGAGACGCGTAGCTAATGCGCCAACCAGCCCGAGCATTAAAGAGAACCCAAAGATCAGGAGAATGAATAAGATCAGTACTGGTGAGATCACGAGGTAGAAACCATCGAGTGAGGAAGAAAAAAAGGACTTTGAGGTCATCTGGTAATCTCCCAGCAGCAAGTTGGGAGGGAAACCAACGTCCTATATCACGCGTCAGAGTAGCAAGAGCCTGATCAAACCGGATCCCAGCATGAGGGATTTCCAGTACAGACGCTAGCAACTCAGGCGTCACTTTAATTTCATAATCATAGACGAGAGTAGTGAAGAAGGAATAATCACTTCCTGGACCTCTGCGAAGATTGATATAGAAGAGGCGTACAGCCTCAGGACATTGACTGAACCTTAGGTAAGACACCAAAGATTCCCATCCGAGCTTATGAAGATAAGCAGGAATATTCATGTCATATTTGGAGAAGGCAGTAGGCTGAATGGAGAAGGATGGATAAAGGGGACGGTCTCGAAAGCGCCGAAGATACCTAGAGTAAGTGGCAGCATTCCGAAAACTCTGATTCTTGAACAGAACAGATGACTGCAACTCAGCATTGTTAAATGCCATTTTTGAAAAGAAGTGTTTGGTTTCTGTCTCTGCTCAAGACTAGATAGGAAACAATAAAAAGGAGTGAAGAAGACGAAGGGATGTGATGAGGGCTATATACGATGAACACTATTTAATCCAAGGAAACTCTTCGGATGGAAAGGAAAGAATCAGGAAGAGATCCGTGAAAACAAGGCAAGAGAATATGTTATATGCAATCAAATATCGTTAATTTCTTCTTGAGTAAACATGCCAAGTTCATGTCGAATTGGTAAGAATTTGTCAGCACTTAAGGGTTTTGTAAAAATATCAGCCCATTGCATCTCTGTATTAATAAATTCTAAATGGATTTTACCATCTTGAACTAGATCACGAATAAAGTGATACCGCACCTCAATATGTTTAGTTCGCGAGTGTTGTATAGGATTTTTAGTGATATTTATTGCACTCGTGTTATCACACAATATGGGAAGAGATCCTATGCTAAGACCATAGTCCTGAAGTTGGTACTTCAACCATAACAATCGAGTACACCCTAACCCTGCTGCAATATACTCTGCCTCGGCAGTTGATAATGCAACAGAGCTCTGTTTTTTTACCGGCCCAGGATATAAGTGACGTGCCAAGAAAATGACACGTCCCAGAGGTGCTTTTCCTATCAGCCACACAACCAGCATTATCAGAATCACTGTATCCTAGCAATTCAAGACTTGACTCACATGAATACCACAACCCAAGTGAGCCAGTACCAGAAAGATAACGAAAAATATGTTTTACTGCAGTTAGATGACTAATTTTTGGATTAATTTGAAATCTGGCACAAGCACACACACTATACATAATGTGAGGCCTGCTGGCAGTTAAATAGAGTAGGGAGCCAATCATTCCATGGTATAGCTTATCACTAACTGATTCTCCCTATTCATCCAAGGAGAGTTTTACTGTGGAACCCATTGGTGTAACTGCAGATTTCAAATTCTTAAGATTGAATCGTTCAAGCATGTTGTTTAAGTACTTTGTTTGACTTATGAAAGTTCCTCTGCTAGTCTGCTGAACTTGCAAGCCTAGGAAATAAGTTAGTTCCCCCATTAAGCTCATCTCAAACGCCCCTTTCATAGCTGACTCAAACTGTTTGCACATTTCTTGACTAGTTGACCCAAAAATTATATCGTCTACATACACTTGAACAAGCATAGTGTGACCATTTAGGCTTTTAATAAAAAGGGTTTTATCCACAGAACCTCTTCGAAAGCCATCCAACATTAAGAAATTACTCAGCTTATCATACCAAGCTCTAAGAGCTTGTTTTAAACCATACAAAGCCTTGTTAAGTTTGTATACATGGTTAGGAAACTTGTGATTTTCAAACCCAGGCGGCTGAGCAACGTAGACTTCTTCTTTTAAATCTCCATTAAGAAACACACTTTTAACATCCATCTGATAGAGTTTAAAGTTTTGAGAAGCAGCAAATGCACATAATAGTCTGATTGCTTCTAATCTAGCCACATGGGCAAAGGATTCATCGAAATCAATTCCTTCCTCTTCCTCCTGATCATACCCATGTGCTACTAGTCTAGATTTGTTTTTAGTTATGTCACCAATTTCATCAGTTTTGTTCTTATAAACTCACTTAGTTCTAATGATAGGTTTATCCTCAGGTTTTGGAACCAATTCCCAAACATTCAATCTTTCAAAATATCCTATTTCATCTTGCATAGATGATAATCGGCTTTAACATATTGAATTTTTGGACTTTATGTGATTATCCATGGTATGTTTTAGCCAATTGGTGCTATTTTAGGGCTTGCTAACCCGAGAATGGTTGAAAAACCATTACTGCCTAGTGCCATGACTTTGATATGATACAGGTGGAGAAAACACGAAAAAGAAGTTGCACCGGCAAACAATTCTCGAATGCTGGGCTTAAAGCCCAGCTGGATGGGGATTAATGACATGGGCCAGAGAGGAAGCTTAAGTGGGCCAAAGCCCATTCTACTCTTCTCTTGTTGCGGGCCGGCGGAAAAACAAAAGAAGGCTGTGCAGGGATTTGGCGGGGGTGGACTTTTCTTGGGAACGAAACTTGGAGCAGGACGGGGAACCAAATTCTATTTTGGGCCTGGAAACTTAATTGTGGGGGGATCTCGGATGGCGGAAGGGAGAAGAAATGGGCCAGGGAATTGCTGGCGGACAGGTGACTAAGGACGGGCTTGGAATAAATTTGGGGCCGAAGCCTGGGAGAAGAAGCGGGCAGTGGAATTCTACTGGCCGGGGGGGAGGGGGGGACAAAAAGAAAAGAAGGGGAATTAATTTAGGGAAGAGGGTGGACTTTATTTGTTGGAACTGGGACGCGAATTCTTGGGAGAGAAGGAAAAGAGGGGCGCAGGCAAAGAACAAAAAAACACAAGCAGCGAGCAGCACCAGGCGATTGAGAATTTGACGATCGACTTCTCCAAGGCTTGAGCTAAGTTCAACGAGAGGGATTAGTTGGTTGGATTTTCTGAACCAAATTAGTTGTTATTTGTTGATTTAGAACATGATGAACAAAACCCTATCGATTTATCTCAATTTCGTGATGAACTAAACCCCGATTTCTGGGGGAAACACCATAGGATGTAGCTATTTCTTGATTTGATGGATTGATTCATGATTCTTTTCTTCCAATCTCTATTGCATGAAATTGCTTAATGCTTTGTGTTGACTGGCCACCAATACAACGATTTGTAGTTAATTAGGTTATTAGCGACAGTGAAACCCTATTAACTGAACCTGTTTCGTTTGACATAGTAACTTATCGAAGCGACAGTGGATTAAATAAGGTGTTATGCGGTCTTAAATAGGATATCGATCTTCAGACTAAATAATTAACTCATTGAGCTACGACAGTAGGATTTGAGTTAATTGTTTAGTACGTAGTAATTCCCGACAGGGATAGCTAGCACATTCGTGATATCCTGGCTGTAGAGGTATGGATTAAATTGATTGGAATATGTGAATTAATCTGGATAGGATAGGTAGTGAATCCCGGTGTTTCTCCCAGAGCTTTCTCCCATTGATTTAAACCCGACACTTTAATTTGCTTGTTTTGTTTAATTACCTAGCTATTAGATCATAGTTTCATCTCATTAAACATTTTAACATATAGTTTGCTCAATAATTAACTCATTGAGCTACGACAGTAGGATTTGAGTTAATTGTTTAGTACGTAGTAATTCCCGACAGGGATAGCTAGCACATTCGTGATATCCTGGCTGTAGAGGTATGGATTAAATTGATTGGAATATGTGAATTAATCTAGATAGGATAGGTAGTGAATCCCGGTGTTTCTCCCAGAGCTTTCTCCCATTGATTTAAACCCGACACTTTAATTTGCTTGTTTTGTTTAATTACCTAGCTATTAGATCATAGTTTCATCTCATTAAACATTTTAACATATAGTTTGCTCAATAAAAATTGATAAAACTTAAGATTGTACCAGTCCCTGAGAGACGATACCCGGACTTTCCGGTTTTCCTACGAGATAGGAAATTGGCATATACGCTTTTGACCTATCAAGTTTTTGGCGCCGTTGCCGGGGACTGCCATATCTTATTTTTATTGATTTTTGTGAGTGAACTATTTTGATATAGGTGTTAGCGTGCAGGTGAATTTTTCAAGTTTATCCTCCTCGTGCATGCCAAGGAGGATGACTGGCAATTTACTGCCACTAGATCCCGAGATCGAGAGGACCTGCCGACAGAACATGAAGCAGGTCAAGTTAGGGAAGCAGCCTACCACATCCACAACTCCTAGGCCTTCCCTAACTCAGAATCGTCAACCGAGAAGGCAGGTGTCACCACCTGTCATCCCTACACCACCTACACCGCCGCCGCGCGTCATCGAGCCTGTCATCATGGCAGAACAGGATCGTTCGATCAGGGCTCGCTTGAATCGAAGAACTGGAGCCCGAGCTTCATGTGTTGTCATTCCGGCTGGGGATGCAAACATGGAGATTACCCCATCCTTCATCAATATGATCACTAATGGGTACACCTTCTCAGGGGCCAGCACCGAGGATCCTCATGAACATCTTCGCCGGTTCGCAAGCATTTGTGATACGATGAAGAGCCCGACTGTGCCTGATGATGCCATCCGTCTTCGGATGTTCTCATTTTCTCTGCTAGGGAATGCATCACACTGGTTCCAGAACTTGACACCCCGTTCCATCACAACATGGGGTCAGCTTGAGAAGACCTTTTTGGATAAGTACTTTCCTCCTGCCAAGGCAATGAAGAGGCAAGAGGAAATTGTCACTTTTAAACAAGCTGAAGACGAAAGTCTGACCGAGGCATGGGAGCGCTACAAAGAGCTTTTAATGAGATGCCCGAGCCACGGTCTTGAAGATTGGAACGTGATCTCCATATTCTTCAACGGAATCAGAAGACAATTTCGAGATGCTCTGAATAATGCTTCCCGGAATGCTTTCACAAGAATGGAAGCACCAGAAGCATATGAACTGGTGGAGAATATATGCTCTGAAGATACTGAATGAGGTAGTGAGACCGGCATTCGAAGGAGAGGAGGCTTGCATGAGATAGACAGAGTTGCAAGTTTAGAAGCAAAGATTGATGCTAAGCTGGATTCCAAGTTCGATGCACTCGAACGAAGGCTGGCTAAGTTGGCTCTTGGTAGACAAGAGGAGGTTTCTTATTGCGAATTATGTGAAGGTGCTCGTCATTGGGATCTATGTCCACTGGTGGCTGATCAGATGGAAGATGTGCACTATATCAACAATCAGCAAAATCAAGGCCAGGGTGGTATGTATTCGAATACCTACAACCCACAATGGAGGAAGCATCCTAAATTTCCCTGGGAGAACAACAACCCAACTGGTGCTCGCAACTTTCCACCTCCAGGCCTGCAGAAACAACAACCTCCACCTCAACCAGAGAAGAAACCACAACTTGAAGAATTGCTTCTGGCTCACATGCAGAAAACCGACAATAATCTGATGGGCCTAGATCAATTTGTCACTCAACAGCTAGCCATCAAAAATAATTTACAATCGTCTATGCTAGCTATGGAGAGGCAGATGGGACAGATGGCTCAAACCTTGGCGGATATGCAGGCCAGGATTCCTGGGACATTACCGGCTAATATCGAGAGGAATCCAAAAGATGCCAAAGTTGTGGCGGTGACATTGAGGAGTGGTAAGGCCTTGGAAGACCCTAGCAGCTCGAAAAAGGCACCAGAGGCAGAAGAGGAAGCACCGGGAGAAAGGTCTTGTCCAGAAAATGAAGAATCAGCCTTGCACAGGCAAAATGAAAGCAGTTTGCCTGTGCAAAAGCATGCTGCCCGTGCAAAACTAGAAGGGGGAAAAGCGAAGAGGGAGGAGCTAAAACCTTATGACC